CCCATAGCGGTCGAAGCCGTTCGGCTTCATCAGCTGCGTTCTTTTCTGCAGCGTGGTCCTTGGAGACTGCGTGCGCCTTGGTGCCACCTGTGCAGAGACCGGCGCGGCAATCGCCGAGATTGTGCACCCATAGGTCTTTGCCCTTGATCAGTGCCATGCATGCGACTGTGCCGGACGAAATCTTCACCTTCAACGCGGGCATGCCAGCTGTAGCCCAGGCAGTTTGCCTTTTGTACGTCATCTTCCTTCTCAAGACGGGTTCCGAGCATGTCGGGCAGTATATTCTTGACTACAGTCGCTGCCTCATCTCCTGCATGACCGTCGTAGACGGTGAACATTCTGGGTCCTCTCAGAGCCCTCTTAACTAGGAAATGAAGGACGCAGCGGCCTATTCTGGTTGTCTACCATGGCTGGAAACTCAGATGTCGAATTTGCCGATTGGCCGCTGAGTGTTGAGACTTTCGCGTGTTGAATGGGTGCAGTTGCCTCTCGTTTACAGACTGCCTTTTGGCTCACTGGATCCTGTTCTTCTGCCTCCCTTGTCTTCGCCGAGCTACCTTGATGAAGCAAGCTCGTGTGAGTGATGACGTGCTCGCGGAGTCCTCCCATGCAAGTGGCAGGCGGTGGCAGACGGTGGTGTTGGATCTATGATTACGTATCTCAGTGGTGGGGATGGGCGTGGCAACTGTGTAGATGGCGAGGCCTGCGTGATGATTAGCTCCTCTCCCTGCTCTTGCTCCACGACAACCAACAAGCGCAAATGAGCAGTAAGCCCTTAGACCTGTCGTGCTCATAGCCTTTGGGAATAATTTGCTTGCCGCCGTTTAGCGGCTTTCTAAATGTACAGTGCCTGACATGCTTCCGGGCTCCTTGATGTCGGTCTTCCATGCCCTGCCAAGTGTGTAACTTGCTTCCGTGTGAAACGTCGCTGTTGCACATGATTGCCTGGCGTTGATCAGCGTGGGGTTTGTTGCTCTGCAGAATCTCTTGTGCCGTCGCCCGTTCGCTCAGGTCCACCCGGATTCGACTCTGCCGCAGACGTGTTTGGCTTGAGGACTCAATCTTAAATCTACCGTCCGACCCTCATTCTGGCTCGGCTTCTCTCTCCGCCTTGGGTGCTTGTCCGGTCTCTTGCTGTCCTTCATTCTCTGAACCTGGTGGACTTGCCATGAGCCTTAGTGTGTGTGCACTTGGCTGAATCGGAGTACCTGCGCAAATGGAGAACTAAATTTAAGCCCCTCGGATCTTCCCATGAGCATGACATTGTCCCTTCTTGAATCTTGCCACTTAGTGCCACACTGCATGTGCGAGTCCTAGTGCACATTTTCTTCTGGCTTCTACAGTCTTCAATGTTCAGTGTCAACGTGGATTTGCTTGCTCTCTTGTATCGGCAATGAACCTTCGCAGGTGGAGCTGATACTTGAGTATACTTGAGTTACTTTGACTCCGCACATGATGGGGGTGCCTGTGTTGACCCTTGTCCGGGCGTGTGTGCGTGTGCGTGGTTGCCTATTGCAAACTGGCGCGTGACGATGCTTAGAGTTTAGCCCTTTGGGTGAAAGAGTCAGAATGATCAAGAAATACGGAGTGTCGGCGTGGCTACACCTCTCCTAACTTCAGATCTGAATTCTTTGGCATCAAAGTTATCCTCGCACGTGCATGTGTGCCCGACAGCTGTTGTGTGTACCTACGCGGCTGTCGGAAAATGGGAACCAAACTTGGCTTGGGCCTGGAATAGCATTCACTAACAGTCCTTTGCTGCTGGCCCTTGTTCCTGCATGTACTTGAGTGCGGCTTGTCTCACTAGTTCTACATACAAGGTAGACTGATCTGAACAACAGATTAGCTCGGATACATGTGACGTGTGATTTGCTAGTGCGTTAATGCGCTCGCGAAAAAAACACATTAAGACAGGGTTTCCAAACAATGGCCATGTCCTGAAAAAGTGGCGGCGAAATACATTAAAGAAAGGCTCCTCACAAAAGTGAGTGCAACATTATCCTTCAATTCTTTCTCCTAAGACCTGCCATGTTAAAGGACGGGATCAAATCCTTCCAGTTTGACCCCGAAGATTCCTAAGCATTAAACCCCAAACCTACGAGACTCAAAACACCTTGAGCTGCAGCGTGTGTGGCAATGCTGGCATTCTTTGCCCTCCGAGTAAAATCCAGGGATGCAAGAATAGACCGTGGTTCCATGATGCTCAATCCTGCAACAGCAAAACCCAGAAAAAGAAAATTCCAGCCCGCCAATGCAATCAAATGGGTATGTAGATGTTTTCTGGAATTCTTGAAGAGTCCTGACTTTGTTTGCTTAGCAATCTAATCAGGTAAGTGCTGAAAAACAGCCACAACTTTCATTCGCATGTTTTCAATCCATGTTGTTCGGAGCTTTCGTCGGCACTCATTTTTGGGCAACATTTTTCAGGTGACTTTAAGTAGATTCGAATGATTCAAGTCGAAAAAGTGTTATTGTTGAAGTTTTCATGCCGTAGGCCCGGCAAGATTGCCAAACAGAGTACACACTCGATGCCATTGCCCCAAGCTAATGGGATCCACATGCTCCCCAAAACAGTCCGCTCTACCAAACTGCGCTGCTCAACAGGAGCAGCTTGCATTTTGCGAATGCACATAAGCCCAACACGCAGGCACAACAACGTAAACCACTTGCCGTACACCGTCAGCTAGTGCTGCCGGACCACCCTAAAAAGAAAAACAAAATTTGCTGCCCCTGGACTCGAGCCATGTGTTTGTGAAGATCACCAGCGCGTTTGCATCTGAAGCCAACTCAATAATTCGGAAGCACGACACGCCGGCAAACAAGCCATTCACCTTCGCTACTGCCCAACACGGCAAAGAACATTCAAGAGCCAAGGAGCAGCCATAACAGCAGCCGGCATTGAGGCCCTTGTGTTGATTGCAGACGTCGAATAAAAAACCAAACGCCCTTCGAGTTTTCGCAAAACATCGCAAAACATATTGGCAAGCAAGAAAAACACCAGTGCGCGTTAAAAAACAACCCACAATGAGCCGCACATCGCACTGAGGAAGTTGCTGTCTTCCAGCGCGATTTTTTGACCCCCCGCAGCATCAAAATCAGGTAATGCGGGCTGGTATTGCTGGCAGCCTCAGACCTTGGCTTCGTATTTTTTTGAAGATGCGCGCTGGCTGTTGTCCCTTTGATTTTTATGGCAACAGGAGATTATTATCATTTGTAGCCTGTTCTCACAGCAATGGTTTTCGGCACATGGTTTTTCTTGCGATGAGCGTTTCCACTTCCCATGGTTAGCTTCATTTTACAGTGATAGCATTTGATTAGTAACTTCCGCTTCAAGACGAAAACCGCATTTCCGTGGTTTTTGTGCGGGCCGCCCTTTGTTCGCAGTATGTGGCGGCGCATGACGCATGCAAGGGGTTTTTATCTTCGACGTTTACCATGCTTATTGAAGGATGTAGGCTGCATGCGGCTTGCCAAGATGATGCGGACTTTTACTATTCCCCAAAGTGTCCGTAGTGCCTGTGGCTGTGGAGGCCTATTGCAGGGCAACATTTTTCTTCGCCCACGATATGTGGTGTTGGGCGCTGGCTTGTCCTGTCCTTTCTGGAAATTTCGCATTGCTTTGTAGGGCCGAAGTCGAAGATGATGCTGCCAATGATTTGTCTTCTTAGGGATTGTAGCGTTAGCTCCCAGGGTCCACCGCTGATGTACACGGGGCATGCGTCTCCATGCCCCAAGCAACTGCTTTTCCATTTTTTCAATTCAACTAGTACAAGCAAACCTCCGGTTTGGGACACTTTTAAATTGGACTGGCCCAATGAGTTTGAGAATAAATGTGTTTCCCTCATTCATTCGTGGCTCTTTTGCGGTCTGGCTAAGAAGAGCGGCAACGTTGCACTTGGCGAGCGCTTGTGCTTTTACAGTTTGTTTGTTGTGTTGCGTCATGTCATCATCTTGGGTCGAAACGACGACAGTTGCCAGGCGCTCCGGCTTGTTTCAGGTTGCATTTTTTCACAAAGGTGAAAGCTTTTTGAACAGCCCCCTGAAGAGACTTGAGGCTTAGATGCGGTTCTGATAGGGTTTGCCAAAAGCGGAAAAACTAGAATGCAAGCCTGCTTTGGCAACTGTGAACATGCGTTACTGAGTGTTCCATAGCTTCCAGCATTTCATGGAACCATCTGTTTGGCATGTTGAAGCTAAAAACCATAGTGCCGAACCCATTCCGGTTTTAGAGCCGCGAAAATATTTCGGCGAGGGAATGTTAGCACTGTCAAGCCCTTGACTAACGTGAAATGGTTTGTTAGCAGCTGTTTTCTTTCAGATGGCTTTTGGGCCAGTCGGAACCATTGTCGCGCCTACCTTTCTTTGTGACCGATGGACATGAATAACATACTTCCAAACTTGTTGCTTCTAGCAGAAACCTCTGAATTGCAATGTTTTAAAATCGGCGTAGCTTGGCATAAGCATAGCACCACGCAAGCCTAAATTGACTCGCGAGACGCCATTCCCCACCTGAGCGTTGCCCATTTTAGAAGCTAATGTCGGTTTCATTTGTTGACCAATCGTATTAGTGAACCAGGACATGCAGTATGCTAGCTGCTAGGACATGAGACGGGTTTGGGGTTGTGCTTCTTGATGCTATTGCGTGCGGGCAAGTCCAAAACTTTTGCTTTCGAGAGCCGTCATATTGACTGCTTCGTCCCGAGCTTTATAATACTTTTTTTGGTTTTTGATTGACCCGTTGCCGAGCTTTTGCAAGATCAGAAAATGTCAACATGCAGTCGATTGCATGGCTGCGGTTGGTTTAGGTGTTTCCCACACATCTTCAAACAACCGCAAGCAGCCAAATCAGCTTCGAACGCCTAAAAACGCTGCAGAACAATATCCACTTGTGCGAGCAAATTGCTTTGGTATCATCAGCAAAGAAAAATCTCGCGCATCACCCATTCCCAGCCTGAAATGTCGCACGTCCCGCCTTGCTAACAGCATGTGTTGGCGCTCCCATGACGCTTGTTTTTGCCTCAGCTTTCTTGTCAGGTATGGTCGTTACGATTGCATGCAGGAAGCACATGTCATGTGAAGGTTGAGCTGGTGCGATATGGCTTTCCGGCATGCAGATCCACATTTCGGAACGTCTTCGTGCAGCGTAGCAAGCCCATAATGGGAGATGTGATGGCTTTGCGTTTCAGGTACGTCGAGAGCCCTCATCACATTACGTCGTTGGTGGCTGGTTCGCCGCCCATTGCCTTGCGCAGATCTGCATGTTGGTAGTGGCTCATCAAGTTTGGAGGCGCAGGGCGTCCAGTTCGTTGCCGCAGAAGGCACACTTCCCGCCATGTGAGTAAGGGGGTGTACTGACGGTGTATCTCACCACTTTTTTCCGGAAAGATATTCTGTATGATGCAATGTCCTCGTGGCGCCAATTATAATTTGTACTTGTGGGTGTTCCCAGCTAGGGAAAGTGTGTTCACAGCAGGACGTGAAAGCAGCCATCGTGTAAATGCTTTGAGTGCTGATCCCATCAACCCTCAAGGCTGGAGTCCCACGCCAGAAGAGTAAATTGACAGCTCAGACCCAGTTCATCAAGCGCTTGCCGCAGGGCAAAAACTAACAACCCATTAAAAGTAAGTGTAAATCAGGCAAGTGATGGGACAGAGGGAGCATCATCATCCAACATATCACAAAACAGTGAACCAGTATAGCTTATGGGAGATTTACACATGGTTGTTTGTCTCCATTTGCTCGAGTCTTATCGTTGATTGACGAGGAATGCCCCCCAAAAATTAGGACGCACCGTACTGGCAGAACCGTGTGGCCTTCAAATCGTGTGTCCATAATTGCACCAGGCCCTGGCGCACCAAAAGGCTTGCAAGGTTGCACTTTTGAGCAGCACCAGTGTTTCTAGGGAGCCTCAATTACAATCGTGTGAAGGAACAAGTAGGTCACTATTTGCATGGTCGCATATCGCACTTTGAAGGTTTTCAATCCTATGGCGCTGAAACTTGGGGGTTGCGTTGTTTGTTACTTGGTTGTGAAAATTCTGAGTTGTTTTGTGTCATGCGGGTGGTGCTTTGCTTCCAGGGAGGTAGCTTGGTGTGACATCGTTTAGCACAGATTCTGGGATCATCGTGAGATCGTCACGATTTGAACAAAAGCTGTTGCAGATACCGTGACCGGTTGTATACGTGTCCCCAAGTTTGCAGTCTTTCAAACACGCAACACCGCAAAGGGAGGAACGAACGATCACATTTTCAGAGAGTGTCAAGATTGTGGCCCACCAGGCTCATATCTCGCCAATGCTGGGGCGTTCGATTGTTTCAAACATCAACTTGGTCAGCCTTCAGCCAAGTGGGAGTTCCACTGGACTTGTTTTTCGCATGGAAAATGAAGCGGACCTGCACCCCGCAAACGGCAACAACGCACCATGACACTGGCTGGACAACATGCCAAGGACCCCGAGCGACAGGCATTTGTTCTCGCCAACGGCCTAGGACCAGCTCGTCAAGTTACGTATTCATGTTATAAAGTACGGATGCTCCGTTTCTGGACCAGCCGAATACGTGACGCTGAACGTCAGCACGGCTGCACTGACATGTCACAGCTCACAGGCATCATGGCTGTGACGCCATGCGGGAGGTTTTTCTGCTTCGCTATCAGAAAAGTGTTGGCTGCTGTACAGTAACGACCAATGTTGGCCCGTACGTGGGCGGCAGCAGGCAAAAGTTGCAGCAACCAAAGACAGACATGCCGCCAGCGGAACATCGATGTTCATTTCACGTCAGAAACATTGGTCGCCGTAGCCAGTGATGGCTTGAGCTTCGTCGACGACCAACAAGCCGCGAACCCAGGATGCGTCATCTACGAACGCATAGAGGCTTTCGCCGCCTCACAACTAGGCCTTCGTAGCTGGTTACTGCAGGTAAGCCAAGCATCGGCGGGTCACCCCGTTCTCCACCTTCTGCCTCGTGCGCCCGGCCAGAAGCAACGTAAAACACGTACGAGCTTCCGTGGCCATAGAACTGGCGCACAAAGGAGATCAACCCAGTAAGACGTGGTCATAGAGCCTGACGCTGTCCACAACGACAACCGTTGCGCAGCGCATGCAGAAACTTCGGTGGAAAAGCTAAGGCCATGCAAAAGGGCCTCTGCACCAGGATGCACCAGGGCTTCCGCGCCAGCACGGGTGGACAGAGCGTGGCGGGAATAATTTGCAAAACTTTTGGAAGGCTGTTGATCATTTTCATCCTTCTCATCGTTTTCCACTATTTTCTTCCACTATTTTCACCAATTCATATTTCATAAGCTTCATTATATTCTATCTTCAGTTCATTCAGTCTGCACTATTTCCAGCATTTGTGTCACTTCTTGTTTCAAACTCGTGCTCTGGTGTGAGGCGTCTTTCGATTCTGAGACAAGCTTGTTAACCACCATGGATCATGGTCAGAGTGAAAAAAGTTATCTAAACATCACCCCTTGTGGCACACCCACAAACAAACAACAACACAGAACTCAATACGTTGGCAACCCGCACGTATTGCCGTGCAAACAAGTACGAGTATGTGCGAAAACAAAAATTTGCACCCAGGTCATGCGTGTCATACCTCACAAGCTTCAGCACGGATGTTCAGCGTAAGTGTACGGCTATTTATGATGTCCCGGGCAGTGTTGCCAACGCCGAATTGCTCGGGAGCTTGCAGTCGCAAATCTCCAGCTTGCAACTGTCAGCAGGATCACGGAATTTGCCTTCACATCTGTATGAGCAACGGCTTCATTTCGTCCCCAATTGCATGACTAGGTTGCGCACGCCACGTTGAAACCATCCGACATGGCCGCAGTGAGGCGGTCACAGCATCAACACCCGCTTGTTTAGCTGATGCTTGCTTGTTCTTTTGTCAGCGCTGCTTGCGTGCTGCAAGTTTTGTTTGCTTTGCAACAGCTGTGCTGGGCGTTGCTGTGTTCAGCGTGGACCCAGAACGGGGCTTAAGCCTTTGCGCCGCCACGCCACCTGTCGCGGCCAAAAACTGATTATCTTCCGGTAGTTTTCCGCAAAACTAATCCACAAGACTGCTAAACGCGGGCGACCTCGAAATCCTATCGGGATGTCAGGGTACAGTTAACAATAAGCAAAGAGGATAATGAAAGTAAAGACCCGCTTCGCTGCTCTTTGGAAGCTGGCACAATCAAAGCAAGCCACCATCCGAGCTCCACGCATGAGCCAGGCCACCACCACAGCCGACGAAGTCACAGTAAATGGCTGCAAGGACGAAGTGTGATGAGGGGCGAGTCGCAGCGTCTCTGAGGATGCACGCGGACCAACTGTGGATCGCACCTGTCTACGCGGCCTACCCCATCACAACTGGCACAACAGAGAAGAAAGTAGAAGAAGCACTTTTGCGGCCGGAAAGTTGGGGTTTCGTTTTGTGCCCCATTGCGTTGGCGTCCAGGCCGCCGCTCCCTGCCACAGCTCCCAGATTTTCGCTCTGGATGCGCTATATGGAGGTCGTCGTGCGGAAAAAGCAGGCAACGCAAGCGATCTTAAGTCCTGCGGGGTTCGCTGCGTTCAAGTTTCAATTGGTGTACCTTTGCGACATTTTGCCGAACTCATTGTTCCTGGCCTGGACCGGTGCCAGCAAGTGGTGGCAGTCCCGCGTGGCAGAGGCGTTACGGTAATCCCTCATTGTACAACGCTTGGAGGAAACCATTATCAACGACCCGTGCGACGATGGGCCCCTGCTTTGTACAATTTTGGCCGTGCCTTAGGGCTGCCCACGGTGGTTTAACATCCAACCAATGTTGCTGGATTCGGTGGTTTGGACAAGGGCGCGCTGAAGGGTTGGTGTTGGCGCACCAAGGCAAGTGTCCGGCTCCGGGATATGCTATGGGCATTTTTGGCTTCTGATGTTGTACTCTGAGTTTTCTGTGGCTGCCCGTGCTCGACGAGTAGTCCTTGCCCTCGAAGTTGGTGGCCGGTGGAATTCTCAAGCCGTGGGCTCCATCCGCCTCCTCGCCAGGGCCTGTGCGAGGAACGGCCCTGCCTCGTCACGCAGACAGCCGTTCCGCATACACACAACAATGGTCCGCGCTCTTGTCATTTGCCGCTGCGCGTTCTTTCGCCGCCAGCCCCCTGTCCTTGCTGTCGCCGGCACCGCCACCCTAGAAAGAGATTCGCCCCTCCTCAGCAATTTGCTTGCAGATGTTTTTCCGCCATTTGCCAGCCGCATGCCTTAGCCGCGAAAGCCTGTTTAGAGCCCGTGGCCTGGACTTGGCTGTGGATTGGGACCGTTTCGCTTGACTGCAGAAGGGTCCGCCAAAAACAAAAAAATCAGATCCAAGACGGAGATCCTGCACTGGATCCATCCGAGCGCAGCCTCGTCGTGCTGGGTGTGCCCATTGGGTCGCCCGATTTTGTTCGCAGACACCTTTGCCTCACCCTCTAACGATAGGCATCCTTGCTTGACCAACTCCCTGCATTGGAGGATGCCCGGTCGCATGGCTGTTGTTGTCCGTTTGCTTTGCGCACGACCCAGGCGTCGACGTCACTCGTGGATGGCAACGTTCAGCGTCCCATGCTCCCAACGACTTCGGTGACCGGGCTCCGTTGTTGCGAGCTCGACCCAGCATCGGCCGCCATGCTCGAGTTCCAAAACCGCCCAAATTACAGTTGCTCGGCCCACTTCGCTTGAGCTCTGCCTGCCGTCGCCCCTCTTTGGGGCGCAGCTTCTCCGGCGATTGCGTATGCCGCTGCCCCTTGCACCTGCAGCTTGCCGATGCCGTCGTGGCTTGAGGCGGCATGCCTGCGCTCAGGATGACATTTTTCCAGGGGATCAACGAGGAGAAAGGGACTCGACCGCGACGAAGGCAGAAAGTCAGGCCAGAAAGCCCGAAGGCAACGGCAACCCATTGAGGGTTAGCGGAAATTTTGGCTTACTGAACCCAAACATGTATATGTGGCTATGCGGTTCACATCGGAGTTGCATATAACAAAGTCGGAAAAGGCATCCGCATGAGCTTCGTGTGTCCGTGGCAGCCAAAAACCAATCACATCCAATCACCCAGCCCCCTCCTCTGCAAAAGTGTTCGGTTGCAGATTTGCATGTGGATGCCGGTCGTCCAACATGTCTGGACGTGGTGTCGGGGATCTGTACAGCAGAATGATGGAGTCGTTCATGTGTAATGGAACATGTTCATATCGTTTTGCCTGCGCCCTTGAAGGCTGCTCCTGGCATGCAGGTCTAACTGACTGGTGTCGGGGATCCAGGGCAGTGCACGCGCTACCCAACGATCGTTCCGAAGCGGTGCAACATACGATGCAAACTTCAAATGTGCTTTCAGGCATTTCCTGGATCACGTGTGGACATCACAGTGAACACACTGTTCCTGAACCCGCTCGCTCCAAACATGTAAAATCTCGTGCCATGCTTGCGTCCAATCCACATCACCGGGAGGACCGACAACGGATCGCAACAAACAACGGATTTTTTTAAATTAAATCAAGTTTGGTGAGGTCTTCTTTGAAAATTTTGCGATGTGCTGCGGCATCACACACAAAGGGCTCACCACAGCATCGAAATACCGCAGCCGCCGTTGCAATGACACCTTTTTGCCATGGAGCATCCGAACATTTGCATAGAACGCTTTGCACGCAGCCTGAATATGAAAGCCCACATCCAATGAGTGGGATGATTGCGCCGACGACATGCATCCCAACCGTAGCTATTTTGGCTCAAGCCATCTTTGCTGAAGTGTGGCCCAAGTTTTTGTTTAGCCGATGGGCCCCCGTAGTTTGTAGCTCCCATTTTTGGGGTAGCCTTGGATGGAACGTGTGACCTTGCTTTTGGGCGACGTAGGCAGTTCGTGACCACAACACAGGATTCCTGGTGGTGTGGGAGGCGGCTGTTTCTCGGGCTGGGGGGAATGTGTCTCCAGCAGTTGTGGAGCATCCCAGGAACGAGCCGCCCGCCGAGCCAAGGGCCGCCTCGAGGCGTGGTTTCCTCGGAATCTGCTTCCGAACCGTTTACCTGGACGACGCGCGCAGCGTTGCGCTACCGCCAGCTTGGACAAGGCGGCGCTTGAGAGCCTTTTATGTTCCCTCGATCTGCCATCTCGCGCCCTTCTCCTGCCCTACCGACCGCGCCGGAGTTCCGCCCCGCCTGCGACTGCATGAGCGCTTTGCTGTTGCGGCGCTTCCGAGCGCCCCTGCCACATGCGCCCCGCCAATGCCGCTGTGGGGGCAGGCTAAACGTGTTGGGCGACCATCGCTCGGGATGTGGAAAGGGCCGCCGCGCGAGTCCGTCGCCAGGCAAGGCCTCAAGTCGTCAGCAATGTGTTCCTGAGTGACATGAACATTGGCTTGCCGCTGGTGGACTGCCACCGGGCCGCCCGGTTGAGGTCTGGTCAGACTACCGGTGCGGCAAGGCGTCTCAGTGGCCGTGGACACCATGTTGGTTTGCCTGGTGTCTCGCGATGGAACGGCGCGACGTGGGGCCGCGCAGGCCCCCGGTTCTGCCGCACAGCAGGCCGCCTACGGTTGGCGGCCAATGGGTGCTGAGGCAGTCGGTTCATCCGAGGCACGCGGCGCACCCGCCCGTTGGAGATTGGCAGCGCTGGAGGCCAGCGTCCACCGATGGACAGGGATGCTGCGGTGGCTGCCCAGCACGCTTACGCGCTCTCGTTGCTGGAGCTGCTTCTGGACGTGGCAATCGAATGCCACGGCACGGAACCGCCCCCCCTTGGCGGAGGTGCTGTTGAACGCTCGGGGACGGGCACGCTGACAGCCAACCAGCGGTAGGTTGCAGGCAACCCAACAAGATCATGCATACGCCAGAAGGCGTGAGATGAAAACAAGTGCGCGGAAGCCAAGCCTGCAGGCGTTAATCCGTGCGCTGGAGGCACTTGCGCAACTGATCTTGCGCCTATGACTGTTTTCTTGCATGTGGGAGAAAACAAATCTTCGGGTTTCCAACATGGCAAGAACTCAAAACGAATGGGTTGACAAGGCGTGGTGTGGGCCCGCAGCATACCCTGTTAAGGCTGTCAAAGGACTTGCGCCGATCCTTGGAATGGAAGCATTTGCTCAGCATGTGCCGGTCAAAGAACCCGAGTTCGGCCACCAAACATTGGCCATAGGAGCGGTGTGTTTGACAGGCACCCCACCATTTATTACAGTGGCCGTCGTTTGCGCTGCAGTTTGGTGTGCTTGCTGTGCGTCTGACGGTGTTTGGCTGCGGCATGCTGCGGGTTTGCTTTGGATGCATCCTTGCACTTGTGTCGTTGATGAAGTTTGCATCCAGACACCGTACACTATAAAAAAGTTGCGCGCATCTCGGGTTGGTAGGCTCGTGCTGGGGTAGCTGGACTAATGGTCAGCGCGTGCCACGAACTTAGACACAGCATCAACGCTTGCTTGTTTCAGCTGATGCTACGATTGTGCTTTGCACCCGCCCACCCGCCCTGTCTCGCCATACAGTTAGCGCCATTTTGGCATGCCCATGGGCAAACAGCTTGTTGGACAAGGTGCCCGAATTGATTTCTTGGAAGGATGAATCCTTGCACGTGTGGCACTAGTGAAGCATATTGAAGCGTACTTTATGAAAGAGTTGCGCGCACGTCAGGGTTGGACCATTCTGTCGTGAAGCAGCGAAAGCGCATGAGTTCTTGCAAGCGGGGGGGGGGGGCGGGGGCGGCAAATTGCCCCCAGCCAACAGGTCTTGGCACGCGAGATGTGCCGGTTCCCCGACAGCACGTGCTATCACAAGCATAGCTATACTGCCAAACTTGCCATCACATTTCCGGCGCTCTTTGATCTCTGATTGGCGGGATTGCTGGCAGTGATCCCGACACAGCCAGCAACCACCCTTCACCGTGCAATGCAGCTCTACGCCGGCGCTTGCAGCAATTCGTGCCTTTGCGAAAGTAACTATGGCCGTGACGCGGCTGTTGGCAAGTTTTTTTTCAGCATTTGGAAGGCGCCGCTCATATGTCGTGAATGAGGGATGTTTTTGTCCAAGCAGGCAAAGACTGGTGTCGACATGCTGCTCTGCATGTTAATTAAGTTTTCGCGGAACCGGGTAATCATTTTGAGTTCATGCAAGAAACAACACAGAAACGGGATGCGCAACAAGCAAGATGCTGGCCAGCATGCCCCATTATTTCGGTATCAAGGTTACTGGGATGGTGGACAGCACCATGCTGACATGTGGTGTTGATGCATTTCGCATTGCTGAAACTGAATTTGTCCTTGGCGCCAGGAAATGCAAGAGTCTGATGTGGAAGGTGGCAATGCGCTCGCCAACCGTGAGCCTCAGCAAATGGAGGACCTGCATTTTGAGCCAGAGTTTTCCCCAGGTTTGCATAGCCAAGAACAGAACCAAAAACGCTTGTGGGTTGTCAGGCTGATTCATCGATTGAAGACATCTTAGTCCGAAGCCGTCGGAAGGACATAATAACACGGGCCGGGTGCCTAGAACACATCGTTGTTTGTATGGGTTTGATAAGCTACATGAATCCAGGTTGGTCCTGCAGCGGTTCGGTACATGCCCACAGAAGATCCGCACGTGGGATGCTTGGTGTGCATGATTACAGTTGGATGACGTACATCGGGAGTGCATGCAAGCGGTTGTGTGCCACCATTGTCCATCAATTGTTGCATGGAGGCATTTTTGCTTCCTGACAACAGGCCAGGTGGTGATGTACGGGGGCATTGGGGTTGTAGGCAACAAACGATTTTTTTTCAACGCGGAGATTTGTGGCATGCCCAGGTTGACCATGCTTGTCGAACTGTTTTATTATTCTTTCGTATTTGGAGTTGGGATAAGTTCTATCAAGACAAACGGTGATGATGGGAACATCAGTTTTATTATATTTGTTCCGCAAAATTTTGGTTGTTACGTTGTTAGTTATGTTAGTTCATGTGTCCTAATATTTTAGGAACGGCAATCGCTACGTAGTTTAAGCTGTCTGATCCCAACCGTGTGCGAATTCCCACCACGTTGGAGGACATGCCTGTTCCAAAGAAACAAAAACAGTTGAATGTTGCCCTGCCAACAACGACCTCCGTGCCCACGGTAGGTTGGAGCCAGCCGAGCGGAAATGGCAAAGGCTGTTTGTGGCCCTTCCGTGGCTGACGTTTGCGGCCATGGTGCGCTTCCAGATGTTCGTTCCATGTTTCAGTTGATCTGCTTCCCCTAGGCCGAATGCTGCAAAAGGATATGTTCTGTTTGACTCCTGTCAGCTCGCGCTTCCGGTGCTGTTGGTGCACACCAACCTACCGTATCTCGTGCAGCGCGCGGAGCATGAAAAACAGGCGGGTTGTTGCACATTACATAAGCGCTGGGGCTTTCGTTCCAATACCATTCCAATCCGCAAATGACCTCGAGGCTGCCGGCAAAAAATTGATTCCGTTGTCAGAGCGGGTCTGCATCTCGGTTGTTGCGCAAAAGCCGCAATATGAAAGCACTTGTGCATTTATGTGCCCGAGGTGCCAGACTTCCAAATCGTCAATTTTGGCCAAATGTGCTGACCTATGGTTTGCTGTTGTTGCTTGTCATGCTGTATTTTTCACGTTTTTTCCTTGCTGCGCCGTGCATTGCCTGTTCAATTTCGGTGTGTTGAACATCGCTGGCCTGAGGGCCGTGTTGTGCAATATCAGACATCCGGAAACCCGACGAACATACGGTGATGGCTGAAATACCGCTAGCTTCGTGATGAGTGGGTCTCATGAGGCCAGATGTGCTTGAACGCCCATTTCCTACGATGCTGATACTTTTCCACCCAGCTCTGGGCACAGCATTTTCTTCGTCATCCGTGTAAATTTTCGGAATGTTGTTTCTTGAGGCCACATTGGCCTCAAAAGTTGCATCCTCAGATTTGTTTCCGGCAATGCGCTCACATTTGCTTGCTGGTGCCAGGTTTTTGTGCCGGCAATGCGAGATTTGGAAGGCCGATCCTTGCAAATCTTTTGCCAGAGCGAGTTAGCGTAGCCTTTCCCTTGTATGTGGCAGTGGTAGGCATTTTACGAAATGCTTCCATTCCGGTGACTGTTGCGGCATTGGACTTGACAGCCTCGCTGGGCACCTGGAGGGCGCGGCGGCACCTGTATTTTGCGCAGAAGCTACCATGCCAGGCCAATGCCTCCAGAAGCTTTCTTGTGGGAATATCCAGCGGCCGCGTCCCCACACTGAAAAGATGGCTTGGCTCAGTTCGTGCGAGGCTAGCTTAGCATATGGGGTTTCATATTTGGACTGCTCGTGTAGAGGCCGTGTCACCGCACATCCAACTCATCTTGCCGAGATCCATGGAGGGAGAGGCGAGCATTTGGCGGCATAGGATTCATGCAAGGGTTCGAAGCACTGCCTAGCATTGCCAGGTCAGTGTGATGACGTCTTTCTTGATGTTTTGGCTGGAGCTGTGAGGCTGGCGTGTTGGACCACGATGGTGGCTGGAATGCTCACTCGTTAGCTGCGGCAGCCTCTCGTTTGGGGCTCATTCTGCAAGAGCAGCCTCGTGGCAAGAACAGGTGAGCAGCTGCGCCAGCATACTATTCAGCCACTTTGTAATCATGTGAACCATGTGCGTAGGTCGGACGTGCAGACTGTGCCATTACATTAAATCTTTGCAGATCTTCCTTGGCCAAGTAAATCGACACACATGGCCGATTCCTGCAGCTGCTTGGGAGCCATTTGCCCAGACTTGAGATACAACGTCTCGCTCTGCGGCTATGGAGCTTCAGCACACCTTCCTCGGCTGCAAGAAGGACCATCGGTTCTGCAAGGTTGCATGATTTGCATGTATGTAGAAATTGGTCAGCACCATCAAGGAGCTTCCTGCGGAGCGGCGCTCTTCCAGTTTGCCTCCGCGTGTCGGGTACCAGGCGATTGACAGTGAGGCTGAACTCTCGGTGGCCTGTCGGCAGAGACTGTTAGCTTAGTCATGCCGCGCTCTTATGAAGACATGTTGCACCGTGTCATGCTCGCAAAATTGCTCAGATGGGAAGAGGAACTTGCATCCGTGCAACATGTGACCAATACAACTTGGGCCCCTGACCAGGTCAAGTGTGCTTGGTGCATTTTTGTGTGGCCAGTGAAGCCAGCAGAGAGCACAACCACTAGAAAACCTGCTTTGGAAGAAGCCCCGCAGAGTTAACAAAGCCTCCACATGTTTTTCGCCTGCCTAGAAAGCCCCACAGCACGGGCAGGCTGCCTCAGCCCCGAACAAACCCCAAACCCTGCGCTTGAAAGTTCAAAGGAGATCCAAGTGCGCTATGTCAAAAACTTGGGACGCAGAGCTACACAGCTCCAGGCACTACGAGCCGCTGCCCCGCAACAATGTGAAAAAGGGTTGCTCGCTTGTTGCTACACCTTCCTGAGACCAACGTGCTGCACATGGTCGGTCGGTGAATCAGAGATGGGGCTCAGTTTCGGCCCATCAACAGTACCCAAGACCGTATAGAGTATAGACCACAGGACCATGTGGAGTTTATGGGGCAACTTGGTTGCTTCCGGGTTGAGGATCTTGTTTGGCAGCGACCCGCCCAGTGCATTTCACAATTTCGGTCTTTGGTACAGCTTGAGCGGGCGAATCGCAAGTCTATTGTTGATGAGGTGCAGCTCGGAAGACCGCAGCCCTGATCGGGTAGCTACGCCTGCGCAAGTCGAAGCAGATGAGTAGCTGAAATTGCTTTTCGCTCAAAGTGTGGCTTGTCAATTCATGCAGTGAGTGGCCAAAGGTTTTTGCAAAGATGGGAGCGAAGGGCTGAGAGTTTGCTGGTACACAGGCGTTAAGTGGCTTCGTAACCTAAGCCTGCCCGCGGACCAGATGTTAAGCCGTTAAAGTGGCCATCGGTGGTGTCAACAGAAAGGCATCCTGCTGGCCCTTTGCCTAGGTGCAGTGTCACTGCACAGGTTTACTGCAAGCCCAGCTCCATGCCACAGAAAACCCGGACGTCCCCATCCAGTTTCGCGCTGTAGTGAAAGCCTGGCATCACTGAAACGCCTTTTTTTTTTCTCGCAATGAGCGGGTGAGGCGTAAACTTGCACGCGACGAACACATGGTCTATCTCGCCAGCCTTCACCGGCAGGCTGCATGTCAAATCATGTCAAGGCGGCTGCTGCGCCCTGCTTCCTGCATTGCACCAGCACTGCAGTACTCCAGGTTTGTCTTGACTGCTATGTTGAAATCCAGGTTGCTAGGTGTTTCCCCCAACCACCTGGAGTTGTAGATCAGCGGGGTGCAGCGTCTCACATCAACATACAAAAACGCATGCTGTGTTTGAAATTTGTGCGGAATACGTTTTCTTTTCCGACAGATGTATGGTCTGCTGACGTCACAAGACCCACAGGATTCCTGGGGATGTCCCCCGTGAACTCCATATTCATCATGACACCTGGAGAATTTTTGTTGGAAATTGATCAGCGGATGCCCCATCTTCTCCCCAGGAACAATGCACAATGCATGCTTGGAAGAGTGCGCATACAATGTGAGCACTTCGTCCGCAGACAGGATGCTTGCCTACCACAGCTGATTCAGCAATAATTGCTTGTTTTTTTCTCGATGTAGTCCTGGCCTGCATTGAACAACCTCGTTGTTGTTGGTTTTGTGGACAGATTTTGGCCAATGGTGCGCCGAAGAAACGCTTTCTGGAGCAGCTTGGGACCAACGTGTCACGGAGCCAGAGCGCAGTCTCCGGCACAGACTCGTTCTAGACCATATGTCTGAAAGTCGTTGCGTTCCAACCTGCCCGGCTTTTCTTGAGGTGGGCATTTTGCCAGTTAATCCGGTTGAAGCAAGCCCCTTTTCCAGCCTGCTCAGAGCTGCATGTCACCAGGATTGCTCGAAAGCGGCATAAAAGAATTCGCGTCTCTGCACTGACAGTTACACGACCTGATGATGCTAACCCCTTCAGACTTGTCGGGTAGGAGCTCTACTCACTGCAGACGTGCAAAGGCCTCGCAGGGCCGCGTGCTCCGGAGATCCCTGCTGAGGCACACCGGAAGATCAGGGCTTCACGAAACTTGAAGAGATTGCATCCCAACTATCAAGTATCCATGAGTCTTTTCTGAATCTTCGTGCTATGATGGATGCTGGCGTGTCGTCTTCACTGCAGAGCCAGGAAATTTCTCGACTGGATAATGGCATTCAGCGCCTTCGAGATTTGCTTTTCGAGCTGCTCTTCCTGCAGGTGTCCGCGGGCACGTCCTTGTGGTACTCTAGCGTGCTGCAAAGCATTTCATCATCCACGACATGCACGTTTAACGGATTTACGCATACTTTTTGCTTGCCTTTGTCGCCTCCTAGCAGCTCCTAGTGCGAATAGACCAGCCAGAGTGGTGTTGGATGCACGAGCATTGTGCTGAAGAGAACTGCCAGCCAGGAGATGCCTGCTCAAGACAACAGGAGGAAGGCCAGGCGTCAGCAATGGCAGGGCGTCAAAACCATGGAATGAAGTGAGGCATAATGCATGCATAAGGACTAGTGCTGTGTTGCTGGGGCATGTGAGGTGCCCCAGTAGGATTTGTCGATTTGGCGTTCATAGATCGAGCAAGAGAGATAGTCCTATGTGTGACTTAAATGTGGTAAGGCTGCAGAACTGTTCTGCTTGTCGTTCTTTGAGAAGAATGCAGTGGATGGCAAGGCCTCTTGGTGGCGGCGGTGGCTGCACCTGGTTCCTCACCAGGAGCGGCGGAGCTTTGCATGAGTCCTCTCTGTGACTTCTGGAAGAAGGATCAGCTGCGATGCCGCGAATTACATGCTAAACAGACTCTTCGGTCATGAGGATCCGTCTGCAGTTGATGCGGCCGAGCGCGATCGATGGCAGGATGGACCGGAGCATTTGCCAGTTGAGGGCGGCTACTTGCAGAGTGCCGTGCACTAACAGGGTCTTGTCTCAGTTGGCCATGTCATGATGTCTCAGGGCCGCTGTAATGCCCTGGTAAGGAAAGTGCCAGGGGTGTCAAGAAACCACTGTTGTTGTGCGCTTTGCCCTTGAGGGTTTCTGTTCCCCCTATGCGCAGGCCATCTATCAGGTCGAACAGGAGATCGATCTGCTCCACGGTGTGTGGCTTAGGACCTTGCAGTAGCCAAGCTTCGCTTGAAGCGTCGGGTGAGACTTGAGTCCATGTGTGTCCAGGCCTGGACGTGACGGCCTTACTTTCTGGGCACAGCCTGTGTCTGAATTTGCATGTTGGTCCTGGTTTTTGCATGGACAAACCTTCCCCCAGCAGCATGACCCCAATCTTCGGAACCTTTCATTTCTGGATGATGAATTGGAACCATGCGACCACAAAACTCTTGATCACGAAAAAAGGCGTGGTGAAGGCTTTATCTTCGACGCAGTTGCTGACTCCAGGCTGCCATTGCCTCCTGCGAGACTGCCCTGCACCGGCTGCAGCAAAGGCAAACTTTGTGGTTACAACCCCGATGTCCTTGAAGGGTTTCAAGGGATTTGATTTGCAAAATCCTGCTGATTCGATGTAGCAGTTCTCTTAT